TTTTGTTGACAATTATTGGTTATATTCAACTCAATTTACCAACTTTTAAAAATAATAAGCTGTTGTTTTAATGTACTTTTTTTCTATTCTATAATATGTTTAATGTAATAAAAATGCACTTATGTTCAAAAGTCTGTTTTGTCAGATTTTAGACGTATATAGAAAAAAATGTTACACTCACCAAGGCTGCATTTATTTGATTAAAAATGTAAAAGGTAATATTGTGAAATATTATTACAATTTAAAATAACTATTTTCTGTTTTAATATATTTTAAAAGGTAATTTATTGCTCTGATGGCAAAGCTGAATTTTCACCAGCATTACTCCATTCATCATTTTAATATGCTGATTTGATTTCTTAAGAAATATTATTATCAATGTTGACAAAATTTGTGCTGCTTAGTATTTTTGTGGGAATCATGGTCATTTTTTTCAGGATTCTTTGATAAATAGAAAAAAGCAGCAATTATTTAAAATAGAAAAGCATTTTAATATTTTAAATGTCTTTACTGAAACTTTTGATTACTTTAATGAATGTGTCCTTATTGAATAAACATATTCCTTTAAAAAAAACTCTTACTGACTCCAAACTTTTGAATGGTAGTGTTAGTGTATATTGTTTACATACACAAATTTTGTAAAAATTCTTGCATAATTGCTGTGTTAGACCTGAGAACAATTAATCATATACCTAAGTAATGAATAATCATGCTTAAATAACTTAAACTGGTCTCTTCTCTCCTGATAGATGAGCACACGGTTGTGTTCATGCAGCAGGGTCCTCTGGTGCTGGTGTCCGTCTCCAGCAGCCGTCAATCAGAGCAGCAGCTCCGTAATGAACTGCTCTACGTCTACAACCAGATCGTCAGCATGCTCACGCAGGCCAGCATCACCCGCATCTTCGAGCACAAGAAGAACTACGATCTGCGTCGCCTGCTGGCCGGCTCGGAGAAGATCCTCGACGGCCTCCTTAACCTTGTGGACTCAGACCCCAGCTTCTTACTCTCCGCCGTGCACTGTCTCCCCTTGGCCTCGTCTCTCAGGGACTCCCTCAGTCAGATTCTCCAGAAGGCCATCACACCCAACCTGGTCTTCTCCATCCTCATAGCCAAGAACCAGCTGCTCACTATAGTGCAAGAGAAGATGGTCATCGACGATGCCCGACTGGAGCCTGCTGACCTCCACCTGCTTCTGAACCTCATCGGTGCCTCGTCCGCCTTCCAGGCTGGGGAGATCTGGACGCCCATCTGCCTGCCCAGTTTTAACCCTGACTGTTACTTTTATGCGTACATCTCTTATCTGGACCCTCCTGAATGTACTGTTTGTCTGGTTCTTCTCTCCACTGATAAAGAGGCGTTTTATTCGGTGGCCGAGTGTAAGAGGAAGATCGAGGAGGCTATGCAAACGCAGAATGCGCTCAACTCCATAGCGAAAGCTCATTCGTACAGCGTTAGTCAGGTGGGAGTGTCTGACCTCAGGCATTTCATGTACAAGCCTTTTGATGTGCCCGACAACCATCGCCAGCTAACACAGTTCACCAGGTGAGTCATTTGAGGATATCACAAAACCTGTCCAGCTCACTTCTTCCCAAAATAAAAAGAATTTATATTATTATGATTATGATTTTTTTTAGTTCGGTTCCTAATTTTTATTGTTAAAACTGTGATAGATTTTTTCCAGAATCCTTTGATGAATAGAAAACTGATGCAAAAAGTCTCATTCACAAATTTTTTTCAAAACAAACTGTTGCCTTAAAGGGGTCATATGATGTTGCTAAAAAGAACATTTGGTGTAGTGAAATGTTTATGCGGTTTAAGGTTCAAAAAACACATTAGTTCCGAAGTGAAATAAACTTCAACGGAATAAAGTTGAATTGAATTTAATTGAATTAAAGTTGAATAAACTTCAACTTTACTGTTCAGTGCACTCTTTTACTCCCTAATATCGGTATCAGCCCCAAAAAAACCCATATCGGTCGGGCTCTAGTCGTGTCCATTTTTGGAAAGCCAAACAAAGTAGTTTCGCTTTCACAACGAAACACACAGCGTCTTCACGACATGGCTGCTGCGTCAACAATACTACAGTGAGAATAAAAGTTACGCCTTCTTTCTTTGCGTGAACATTTGGGCGGCGTTATGCAAATCTTCCCACATAGTGAGGTAGATATGTGGGGGCGTGTTAGAACGAGCCGTTTTAGGTAGGCGTGGTTGACTCTTAACTTTTATAAAGAATATCTCTTTGGATTTGAGACTTTAGTCTTTGCAACTTTACAGAACTAATTTATGCACCAAGAGCTTGTAACACTCCAAAGAGAAAGGAAAAATTGAAATCGCATCATATGACCCCTTTAAATTTTGGCTGATTTAGGTTAAAAGTTTTTGTGACTGCAAATTTTTTTTGTGTGTATTTACTGTATATAAACAAGAAGAAAAAACAGGGATGCACCAGTATTAAAATTCTAGCCAATAATAATAAGCTGATAATTATTTTCATGTTATGGCTGATATCTGAAAAATGCAGATATTAAAATTCTATAATATTTTGTCAACATAAATAATTTTTAAAAATGTGCTAAATCGTCATTAAAATAATGTTACATGGTAAAAAGTCATAATTTTCTTCATGCAAAATATAATGTGTCTCATGGGTTTGCCGCAGCCCAGAGATGGAAGCGCCGTACAGCAGTGAGGAGGAGCAGATGAGACTCCTGGACCTGTACAGAGACATGCACGGCCGAATCCACAGCACCTCACGCCCCCTCAAGCTCATCTACCACGTGGCCGAACGTGAGACTCTGCTGGCCTGGGTATGTGAATGATAACTGCTGTCACGCGCATCTGTCCCCAGTCCTCCGAGAGCAAAACATGCTTTCTATCTCACCTGGCGCTTTCACACGCTCTCCGCGCGGACCTTGAAAGATCGAGTTACCTTCAAGGCCTCTGAGCAGCACTCAAAATTTGCAAATGCAGATTATGCAAATGAGGATCCTGACCTTGCTCCAAATGGAGTTGCTTTGTAATATTCTCAGGTTAATTACGTGTTGCCCAAAGCAATTTAAAGGAACAGTTCACCCAAAAATGAAAATTTCCTGAAAACGTACTCACCTTCAGGCCATCCAAAATGTAGATGAGTTTGTTTCTTCATTTAGCATTACAGCACTTGCTCACCAATGGATCCTCTGCAGTGAAAACAGTCCAAACAGCTGATAAAAACCACAATAATCCACAAGTAGTCTCCTCTGCAGTGAAAACAGTCCAAACAGTTGATAAAAACTACAATAATCCACAAGTAGTCTCCAGTCCATCAATTAATGTATTGTGAATTGAAAAGATACAGGTTTGTTAAAAAAAACAACTCCATCATTGAGATGTTTTTAGCTTCAAACTGTTGGTCAAAGATCAAGCACTGTTTGGATTACTTGTGGATTATTGTGATGTTTTGATCAGCTGTTTAGACTCTCATTCTGACGGCACCCATTCACTGCAGAGCATCTAAATTGCTCCAAATCGGATGACCTGAATGGGAGGAGCTTTTTTTTTTTTTTAGCAAATTTTGGCTGAACTATTCCTTTAATTTTTCTCATTCCAGGTCACAAGCAAATTCGAGTTGTATACGTGCTTCAGTCCCCTTGTCACGAAAACCTGTGGCATCAATGCCATCACTAAACTGCTGCGCTGGATCAAGAAGGAGGAAGACCGTCTGTTTATCCGATACCCTCCAAAATACTCCACCACCCCTAACCCCAGTAGGAGCTCTAAAGGAGGTAAGAGTCCAATTGAATCAGATGTATGATTTCTTGGTCGTTTACAAGATTGCCTTCATCTGCTGACCGTTTGCTTTGGTTTCAGATGCACACTGACCAGACCTGACCCACTGCGATAGCCACTAAAATAGCAGGACGTGCATCTCTGCATTCACACTTAACTCAGTTTAGTAAAACAATGGAGATGATTCAACCAAAAGATCCTAATCTACCGTGGGTCAATAAGTTATGTAAAGCTGCTGCTTTTTTTTGTCTTTGACAATTCATCTTGGACTGGATCTGATTTTATGTGGAAGAAAAACAAATCACATTTTGTGATCCTTTTATTCCAGAACATTTTGAGCTTTTCATAGTAAAGGCCCAATAAAATGGGATTTTTTCCTTCTCAACTGGTGGCAGTGAACAATTATTGAAGCTATAACTGGATTTTTACTTTATAGTAAAATTGAATTGCATATAGATTAGATGCTATTAAATTAACAGATCAAATCTGGTTTCCCAGTGATGAGCTGTTCATCATGGTCTAAACCGCTTTCTGACAAAGTCTTTAATTTAGCATGGCTGCTTGAGCTGTGCATTGTCACATTGCACCTTTGTTCTTTCTTGTGATGTATTCTTTTAGAGGTTTTCTTTGCCTTTTTGTCTTATATGGTTTTCTACTTGAAACTGAACAGACCAAACCTTGCTCCATTTTAATGAAAGAAAATATCATGATGTAACATATCACCAGATCATAAAATTCTGTCTTTACTATGGGATTAATGTACTTTCATTTCTGTCTCAGTTAGGTTACCGCACAGCATGTGTGGTTTACTGTTGTATATATTTGTTTGCTTCCTGTTTGACATGCCAGTCATGAATCGTGACATTTATTCCTCTGGCATGATGCTGTCAAGATCAAGACCTCCAAAATATGTTTGTTTTAAACCACTGGGCATAACAGGAAAATCCTCAATGTATGATATTTGGATTTAGTTTTTTCTGGAAAAAACATTTGTATTCAAGAGGAATAATATATTGGTGCTGTAATAAATCTGAGGTTGCTCAAAATACATGTATTTTGAAATCTCATTTACTGACGTGAACGCTAAATTTAGTCTGAGTGCATGATCAAGACGTATTGCTCAAGTTCAACTTGTAAACAGATGACAGGATAACGTAAGCTCAACAGTGTTTTTATTTCTCGTTTGAGAAAATACTGTCAGACATTTTTTGTTTGGTACTATTAGCTTTTTCCACAGGCTTTAAAAAACACATTTCTCTTTTACTCTGCGTACATGAGCTAAGAGACTACATAGTATTTTACTCTATAATGTTCTCTCACTGTAGACCACTAAGGAACAATTGCATTAAAGCAGTAATGCCTTCTGAACAATATAAAGCTCTACAGAGCTGTTAAATTAAACCTTCTCAATAGCTATTAAATAACTTTTCCATAACCACTCCAAATAAATTAAAATGACATGTACAAAGTTTGTCGTTAATTTACATTTCAGATTTTAAAAACACATCTGTGCATATTTTCTACATCCATGCATTTATATTTACACAGTGATCGCCACCCACAATTACAAGCTTTTTAACAAACACAGCCTTTCTTTAAAATAAAGGGCACATGTTAACTTAAAAAAGAGACAAAATAGATGCTCGTGTAAGCAGTGCCAAAGAAATATTTTAATTTAGTGGCACCTCACAGTAGGTTAAAACCGCCATGGTAGTAAAACACCAGACGCTCAGAAGTTGGAATCTGATAAAGACGAAAAGCATATATGACCACGCTAGAATGATTAACCAGCAGCTCTAAAGGCAAGAGAACTTTTTTGTGCACATCCTAAGTCCAGGTATCCAGGTATCCAAGTAAACAGTTACAAAATGCATTCTAGCACAAAGTTCCTGAATTGTACTGCCCAAACACTGCACTGCATTGGCAACATAAGTGATACTATCACCTCACATTCAAGAAAACGGCCAAAAATGGACAAAACATTTCAACATACAGAAATAAGTGCAATTACAATAAGTGAATTTAACACATTCTTAAGCTCTTGGTTCAATGAGAACGTTAAAAGTTAACCAGGTTTGATTTATGATGTGCCTTGAGTTATGGAGGGTAGGAAAACATTAAATTAAAAAAAGAGCTAATGAATCTGCCTGTCACGGGTATAAAAACCAATAAACATCTGAATGTTATGAACGTACCTTCATTGGTATCCTACAGTCAGTTTAGACAAACATTTAATAGAAGTCTTTTATATAAAATTTGAGGGGTTAAAGGTTGAGTTTTCCTTCACGTGGCTCAGGTGTGTCATCGCCCTGTCATATGCCATGTGTACTGACTTCCGCACATTCGGTTTCTTGCCCTCCATCAGACGCAGCCTGTCTACAGTGTCGTCAATGCCCATGGGATGGAGCTTGTCCAACGGCAGCCACTGCCTGATTGTCAATTAATAATAAAACAGTGACTTTAGTACACCTATAACAGACTTTGAAATATGTTTCATGAAGTGTATGTTTCTCCTTACCAGGTTCGTTTTGTATCAAAAAACAGCACAAGAAAGAGCTTCTCCTCGGTCTCCTCCTGTCTTCGTTTACCCAGATCCAAAACATCTGCTGGAGGCACTGGGATGGGAATGCCGTTGTGAAGAATTCCTTCCCGGGGCATATTAGGATTGACAATCTGTTGAAAAGCATCATTACTTTAGGCTAGGATAGGCTGGATATACATATATTCAAGTGTCTCATGTATATATTCAACACCATGCGATCCTTACCATTGCAGGGTATGAGGGGTATCCACGACATTTTGCCCAAACCAAGGTAAGAGGTTCCATCTCATCATTCTGAGAAGTTTCTTTGCCTACAGAAGTAAAGACAATGATAGCTGAGCAAAATGAATGAAAGAAGAGCGATATACGTTTAAAGGTATTTGTTGTACTCACTTGCATTAGAAACTCCATTGTCCTCCTCACCAACAGGAACTTTGCTGAGAGCTGGTTTACCACGACTTTGTTTTGGAGGTGAGGAACTGCAGAAAACATTAGAAGACATACGTTTTTAAAATGCAAAGCTCTTGTAACAGGCACACCTTGAACACCTGGTTTTAACATCAGGTGTCAGGTGATCCAATCTCAAGAGGGCAGTGCTAATTACAGGTGTAAAAAAACAGTCATATAACTGGTTTCCATATGTGAATTTTGGATTGCTGCATAAAAAAAAATTCAAATATAAAATGTGCACACTTATTTAAGGTGGATACATGTTATATTCAGCAAGCAATCATGAGCATAAACATATATAAAAATCTATTTAAAGTATTTCTAAAGTATAAATTAAATGTAGAAATGATACAATTTCACTTAAATTTTTTTAGGCCATTCATGTTTGTAAAACACCTCTCTTAATTTGCAAGTGTTGTGTTAAAAAGAACAAAACTATCACTTTCAGGTAAATTGGTGCAAAATATTATGGCAATTGAAATGGCATGTTTGTAATGAGACTACATTTCAAATGATGAGGGGAAAAATTATATTTTGCTGTGCAGTGATTTCTTTACTTTTAATGTACACTAGTGTTGAAAAGTTAAACAGTAATATTGTGAAATAACTGTCTTCTATTTTAATATATAGTTTAAAATGTAATTTATTCTTGTTCTACAAACCGGAATTTTTAGCATCCATTACTCCAGTCGTCAGTGTCACTTGATCCTTCAGAAATCATTCTAATATGTTGATTTTCTGCTCAAGAAACATTTCTCAATATTAGCGATATTGACATTTTTTTTGGAAAACTGTGATACATTTTTTCAGGATTCAGGGTTCGAAAGAACAGCATATATTTGAAATAAAAAACCCTCAATCAGTGGTCTGTCAAGGCGGATCAGATCACTGCAGACAGATGTTAACATCGAATCTAAACTGGGACCCTAGTGACAGCATTCAAAGCACGCCAACAGCATCCATTACCTGTGCACTGGGAAGGTGGGAGTGCAGCTTTCTGAATCTAATGAGTTGCCGCTGTGTCTCTTGAGTCCATTTGTGATGCCTAAATAAAGAGCATTAGAGCACTTTAGCATATTAAACACATCGTGGTGGATAGCACTTAAATCACTGCTCAATAAACTTGAGTAATCGCTAGGGTTGGGTATCGTTTGAATTTGATCGATTCCGATTCCGGTTCCGATTCTGCTTATCGATTCCGATTCTTATCGATTCCTAATTCCGATTCCAATAAGATAAAAAAATCCATTAAACAAATTTTAAGTCAAATATTTAGATGTCAAACATATTTATTCTGTTTTATGTCTATGGTTTTATCAAAAAAATACCACAGAAAAAAACAACTAGACTAATATAAATTCCAAACATTAAATTGTTAAAGACAAGTAAACAAATTAATTAGCAATAGCATAAATAAATAAAACTGAACAAATATGTCAGGTACAGAAATTTAAATCAAAAGTTTAAAAACACTGTATAGTTTTCTTTTCATAAATAAAATATTGATTAATCCTCATTAAATTTACGAAAGATATTCAGTCAGTTAATGATTTTCTTTTGTTCTTTGATTAACATTAATGATAGGCAGCACGTTTATTAGACGGCTGTCTCTTTAACACCGAACACACATAGATCTAAAAATACTGTTACACATGCGTTTTCTTTCTCATCGGTTTACGTTCACTTAAGACAAAAAAACAGCTGTGTTTATGATGATATACTGACGTATTTCATGCATACTGGTCGATAAATGTGAAAGAGAAGTCAGTTCTGGCCCGGAACAACCTTTGTGGAAATGCATGGAACAGTTCACTGAACAGAATGGACATGGGTCGGGAACCTGCATTGGGACCACTGTTCTCTGTGCTCGTGCCTCAGATGTGTGCGCTGCACGCAAACAGTGTGCAAGTTCTTTCCCTTCCTGCACTTAAATAGTTTAAAATCACATTAAAATGTGAACGCGGGAATCATTAAGCGGAATCGAAATGCAAATGTCTTATCAAATACCCGATTATTGGAAATTTGGAACCGGTTCTAAAATGGAACCGGTTCTCGATACCCAACCCTAGTAATTGCCTCAGTAAAGATATTCCAGTACCGTTTTCTTCAGGTGAAGAGTGGGCCTTTTCTCCTTCCGAGCATGTACTCAGTCCTCTGGACCTCAGCTGATGAGGGGACGGAGGGGGCGATTTCGGGGCTGGTGGTGCTGACAATAATTTGGCTGGTGTGGTCTGCTCCGGTGATACATCTTTTTCAGCTTTGCTGACTCCATTCTGCAATAAAACAGGCTTGTCCTTTGTTAGTCTGGTTCCATTTTTAGCTTTCTTAAAGAGAATGGACGTCCGACGACCCACACCCATCTTGGGCGAATCTGATGGGCTCTCTGTGGAGGAAACCCTGATCACTGCATCCTCCTGAGTGCTGGGGTCCTGCTCTATTGTGTGGAAGTTCTCGTCGTCTTCTAAAGTCTGATCATGATTTTCTTTCAGGCCTCTTTCTTTTCCTTTTGCCCTCCGTTTTCTGCTGCCAGGTTTATTGGACTCTGCTGGAGTGGTGGTCCATCCCGTCTCAAGGCAGAACATAGGCGGGTTTGGTGGAGCATCTCCAGGTAAAGGTGAAGAGGCCGGACAAGTGGGTTCCTGCACTTTTTGCGATGTTGATTTCTTTAGGTCTTCAACCATGGAAAGAAATGAATGATTAACTTAAAGTTACATATAACTCATGAGGTCTTAATTAAGAACTCGTTATCTGTCACTTGATGGACTGGGTTGTAAGTTTTCTGCTGTGGTCTATTGTGGAAGCCCATTTGTGCCTCAACAAAAAAAAAAAGGTAACTGTGAGAGTTTAAAATAAAAATTGTAACCCTTGTTGTTATTCTTAACTCAAATCTAATTATATTCTTAACTAAAAAAAGAATGAATTCTAATTCTATTCTTAACTAAATAAAATAAAAATATGAAATGAAAAACCTGAACTGACAAACTAAACTGGCAAACTAACTGAAAGAAATTAAGTTGAAGTAACAATTACTCACACAGTAAAACTGAAATAGATTAATTTAAAGCTAAATAAAAACTATAAAAAAATAACAGAAACAACAAAACATAAAATTACTAAAACTTACAACTAAATGAAAAAGTAAAAGAATAAAAGCTAATTCAAAATATACATATAAAAATGCTATAATATGTTATAAATAATACTAAACCAACACTGATAGTAAAATTGCCAGATATAAAGTCGCAACACTAAATATGAAGTCACGAATATGAAAAATAGCTGCGATTATCTTTTTATTATTATTTTTTACTGAGGCACAAATGGTCTTCCTTAAAATATAGACTTTGGTGGCATCCAAAATATACTTTTTCTTCCCTGAAAATTATATAGTACATAAATCATATAGCATTAAATTCTGAGAAGAGCAGACATTTTCCAGGCATTTATTTACACATCCTCTGGACATGATTTACCTTGTTTACTTTGCATTACCTGTGTTGGAGGTTATGTAATCCATCTTTTCCCCTTTAATTTTCCCATTCAGCAGTCGTGAGTTGCGGTCCTGGTGGCTGATTTTGTGACGGAGGCTGTTAATTTCTCTGCGCAGCAGGCGCATGCGTTTTGTGCGACCTCCGCTGGTGCGCATAGATGCCACCAGATCCAGTTTGTCCAGCAGGGTTTTCAGCTGCTCCTCAGGACACATGTGCACACGATTTTCAGGGTCCAAGAGCAAGTCAACTGGAAGTCATTTGATAGAAAGGAAAATTGAATGATTAATATTCAGGCATCGTGGGCTACATTTATTGTGTTTTTTGATCCTTTCTGAAGCTTTAAAATGACATGAAGGCAAGCAAACAATGACAGAACTTACATGTTTTAATCATGTCATTAAAAGGCTATACACTATTTTGGGGACTTTTGGTTTTGAAAGAAGCACACATGAATGTTTACCTTCATCCCACCAGGAGACTGTGGCGTTGTGTGTGCTGGCCTTTTCTGGCAGGTGCATGCCTGTGCTGGGATCAAGGCCTATGCTGAGAGCCTGAAGTTGGGCATGTCTCAGAACAGCTCCGCCCACCTCCCGAAGTTGCATGGCAGCTTTGTGGAACACTGTGTCATTGGAGTTGTATCTCAGACAGTTGGATATCATGAGATTGAAATCACTTTCCAAGTCAGCCACCGATGAGTATTTATGGGCCTCCAGCTTGTCGTGCATTGTAGAGAAGTCCATCGGCTCAGAAACAAACTCCAGATAGTCTGGAACCTGGGAAAACATTAAAAAGGATTTTCCTTGCTCTCTTAAAATGCTCTCTTAACACGGCTAAATGAAAGGAAATTTAAAAAACTGTGTTATTTCCTCACCTCCTTCAAACTGACCGGTGAGGTGAAAATATGATCAGTGTCTTTCTCCTGCAGCTGCTCCAGTGTAGAGCGCAGAAACACCAGTGCTGGGGTGAGCTGCAGCTCCAGCACAGCCTGCTGAAGTTTCATCTTACCAGAAAAGAGAGCCAAATTAAACCGATGCTGTGAATTAGTAATTACCTCAGGCCTGTTCTGGCAATAAGTGATGGTTTGCAGAGAACAGGGCCTTGACAATGTAACAAAAGAACATTACAGACATGAATGGATCTGTGTCACCTGTTCTCTTTTAAGTCTCTCCCTCTTTCTTATGAGCTCAATAAGAAGTCGAGCTTTTTCCAGGTCCTGACGAAGCTTCTGCCAGTACTTTAGCTCTTCTCTGACAGCCTGCAACTTTGCATCTGGCTCTCTCTAAAAATGAAAATAAAAAAAATCTGTGAATGTAATGCATCTGAGCAATACAAGCAATCTGAGGTCTTTTAACACACTCAGTAAGTAATACTTTTGTCCTATGCAGAATTCTGCAGAAAAGATTTGAAAACATGATCAAATTAGCCATATGTAATAAACAAACAAACATGGGGCAGAGAAAGTGTGAATGACGAGTGCTGCAAATTTGTAGAAATCGGCAGCACTTTCTGCTGGCACAGATTCTGTGTGGGCTTGGTTATTAACAGTTGGCGAACCCATTATTTACACTCTTTACTGTCAATAAAAGCGTAATGTGTTACAGCACACTAACCTGCTCTGACTTCTGAGCCTGTTGATGAGAATGGAGCCGGCGGATGAGCGGCACTCCATTACGAGAGTGACGCTTTAGCAGCCAGTAATTGTGGAGCCTCTGCATAAACTGATTCTTCCTTTCAACAGAAACCCCTGTGCAAATCTTGTTGAGCCTATTTAAAAGATATCATAAAGGCTAATTGTTAAATTCTACATGAAACATACACAACCTGTTTCTCATCTGTAATGTAACACATTTCTAAAGTAACACAGGATATCTAATTATGTTCATTTTATCCATTAGGATTATAAAAAGCAGGTGTTCAATACTAAAACAGATCTAGACCTAGACGCGCTCATAAAGGACTTTGAAATATGTCTGTATCCAATTTTTTAAGGCAGGGCCTGAAGGTCAAGTTCATCCTCAAAAGCATCTTGATGTATCCCAATAATAATGCTTTAAGTATATATTTGTTTGCCATTATTGCCATAACATTTTTACCAAGAGCCAATCAAAAAGGACCAACCAAAAGCTTAGGGTTAAGGTTTTTTTTTAAAAATGTTTTTGAAAGAAGTTTCTTATGCTTGATCAAAAATAAAGTAAAAATAGTAATACTGTAAAATATTATTATAATATAAAGCAGCATTTATTTCAATAGAAATTTGTTGTTACAATGTAAAAGTATTTGCTGTCACTTTTTATCAATTTAATGCATCCTTACTGAATAAAAGTATGAATTTCTTTAAAAAAAAAAATAAAAAAAAAAAACTTACTGACCCCAAACTCCTAAAACAGTAGCCTTAAAAGCTATTATTGTTTAACATTATTTTCCAGCCTAGACTGTGTTTTAGGAAGATAAACAGTACCAATTCAATTTGATGCTGATTTTAGAATTAAGTCACTTCCACACTGACCAAATATAAAGTGAAGATAAGGTTCTTCTACATGTTTACAGTAAGGTAAGATCAAAAGACTAGGCATAACAGACAAAAACATTTACCGAAAGGACGGTATCTGCGGCACCAGCAGGAGCGGCACTCCCTTCTTCCGCGAGGTCCCTGTCGGATTCTTCTGCGTTTTCCTCTGTTGTGCGGCTGAACCTTTTTTCCGCCCATTCTGGTTTTGCTGCAGCGGAGGCCCTAATGTGTATGACCTCTGACCTCTGTTACCCCTGCCCCCGACCAACCCGTTGTCTTCATCCCCCTCGGTCCCCGTGCCAGGAGGCGAGTGGTTCTCGCAATAAGCAGTCTTCTTCACAGTAAAAGTGGTGCCATTGGCGCCAGTCTCCCGCACGGGGTCGATTTTCATATAGAGCCCGGCTCTCTGGGCACAAGTGACGTGAAACGCCCTGTAGCAGTTCGCTTTGTGGCACTGAATAGACGCCCCCCTGCCTTTCTGTTTGCACAGGTAACAGGTGAGCTTCCATCGCGCAGGAGGAATGTTCTTCACTCCCTCCACAGGCTCCAGGAACACAGTGTTGGCAAAGCACACTTCAGGGATCCATATGGCACAGATGACGTGGGCCCAGCTTCCGTCGCTGGTTTGCTTGAATGCACCTCCCCGATTGGGGCAGAGGACGCAATCGATGGGACGCGACGGGGACTGCAGACAGCACCTGCACAGCCACTGGCCCTCAGGGATGTAAGGCACCCCATAACATTCCTGGTGCACGGCAAGGTTGCAGATGTCGCAGAACAGGATGACGTTGCTGTTGAGACACTCGTCGTCGAGGCAAACGCAACAGTAGGCATCTTCGTCGATGGTGCTCTGGGACAGCGTCTGGCTGCGGGACTCCAAAATGGATTCGCGCTCAAGTCGGTCAATCAGTAACTCGAACGTATCAGGGGGGACTGAAGCGTGTCCATCGGACACACGCTTTTGATTGACCATCTCTAGCCAAGCCATGTCCTCCTCATCCATGTCATACTCAGCTTCGTTGTCCAGCTCTTCCCCTGACTTCTCCATGTAGCGGTAATAAGCCACAGGAAGAGGAGGAGCCTCTGAAGCCGTGAAAGTGTCCACCTTATGAAACGTAGGCTTAGGCAAGGGGGTTTGGTCATGGGCCACCTGGTTTTGCAAGCTATACTGAGAGCTTGATTTCTTTTTGGCTGCGTTTTTGCCATCTTTCCGCTTGCTTTTAGATGCGGTCTGTTTGTTTCCCTGTCGCTGCTCGCTGTTCTCTTTGTTACTGTTGCATTCCGTCAGATCCTGAGCCAGCATCTCGTCTTCTGTTACAACGGAGAGCTGGTCACAGATGTTGATCCGGTGGAGCCGTCCTTCCAGCTCAATCTCCACCATTTTCTGAGCCTGTGCATATGTAAGTGTGTCTCTGGTCGTAGAGAAGTTCAGTCTGCATGGAGAAGGTGGACAGAGCAGAGCGTCTGTGTCAGCGTGGCTGGATGGACCAACCTGACCCTGAACCTTTCCTCTGACCATTCCTCTCCCAAAGCCTCCAGCCCTGGACTGGCCAACTCGTTTTCTTAACTTCCTCATTGGAGTCGTCCTCTATATAAATGTTAAAATATGAATGGACATAAGTACCTACAAAGATAAAAATAATAAATATATGTTACAAATATTGAGCAGATACTGCTAAAAAAAAAAAACCTAAGACAAGAGACTACAGGTCAGTTTTAAGGACTTACATACACCATCAATATCTACATTCTGAAGGTTTTTACAGAAGAGACGATTAATTTGCCTTGGAATTTGCTTGGTTTTGTAACATTTTATTTCCAGCCTGTTACAATATATTCTGATTTATGGAGCAATAAAAAATATCCAAAATCCTCTCTGTAAAAACCTTTAACAAGTCAACCAAATAAAACAATTCCTGCTCTTATCACTTTTCATTAAAAAAAAAAACATGTATGCAAATTAGTGCATATAGGTAGTTGACAAATACGCAATAAAAAATGCTTTTTTGTAAAAGACCATTTTTGAAGAAGAAATACATATAGTGTGAAGTCTGATCTTTGAGAAAATATGAAGGGTCACTAACTTCGTCAATTCTTTCATTGTTTTTTTTGTTTTTTAAACATTTTTACTGAACTGTACCATTAATTTGTCCTATGGTGTGACAACAAAAATTAAGAAAAAAACTGTTAATAATATACAAATAGCATGAGAGAGATTTATCTTCATTGTTAGACACTTATATTCATATAGTGTTACTTATTTAATATGAAATTATAAATTAACAATTTTTTCCCCATGACTTATTGGACAATTTCAAGACAAACTTTGACAACAAGACAAACTTTGCTGTCATCCGTTCAAAACTACTGAAAATTATACCATTTTAGGATGAGTGATATATTTGTATCTCCCCTATTACAATACTCAACTGTTTTTTTTAGGATATTTTGAGATTAAAACAAATCAGCTTTTATGTGTGTCACACCATAGGACATTACGTCACACTAAAGCTGTGTTTCCCAACCTTTCTTTAGTCGCGGCACCCTTTGGAAATTTTAACAAATTTGTGGCACCCTACAAAATTAATTTTGTCACAATATTTGAATTTCTAACTTCGATATGATACTTTGAAAAGTATAGATATTCGGTACAACAGGGAAGAACTGCAGAATATACTGTCATACAGGACAGAAATGATAGTTAAATAAGTATTTCTATTTAATTTTGAACATGTCAAAGGAGAAAGTGTAATTTTGATACCAACAATATAAACATGTTTTTTAAACAAAACAATATAATTTTCATTAACAAAATTCAGTCTCTTAGTCAATCAGTATTAGGGATATGCCGGTATCAAATTTTCATGTTGCGATTAATTGCTAATGCTTTTATTACGGTATTATCACGATATTGAAATTAAGTTAACTACCGAATACAGGCACAAGTCTAATCAGTATGTTATTAAAACTCTTCTAGCCCCCCTCCAATCCCTGTTAATTTTCTGTCTATATTTCCGTGTCCTCTTTCTTCCACTAATTTCTCTCCATAAATTCTTTGTTTCAAAAACAAAGTATCACATTTTATACTTATTTTCATGACACTTTATAACAGTACAGGTTTTCTGCAAAAACATCAGAAAATAGTTTAATTAATGCAATTATTGCATTTAAGAACACTGAAAATTATCAAAAAATAATTAAAAAAGGAGTTAAACAAATCTTATTTAATTATTTAAAATGCTTTTTAAAGAGACCTTGTCCTCTGGTGTGACATCTTTGTCTTGTGGTGACAGTACAGGCGTCACACCGGTGGACATTTTCTGTCACACCAAAAGACGTTTTAGCCTTTTTGCGTAAATTGATGACCTTGCTATTCCAAGCTAACCTGTCATTAGCGGTTGGCAAGACAAATTTGCATAATTTTCCATGATTATGTAGTTTACCATACAGTTTTTAATTAAAAAATATAATTTAGGGGTGTCACACCAAAGGACAACAAAACGTAACACTTTTGTAGTGGTTCCAAAAAAGTTAAATATTTGAACAATTCTGAGACAGAACTTGACCATGTGCACATGTCATGGGCTTCACAGGAGGCTAAAGTAACATAATCATGAATGGGGTCCTTCAACTAATGTAATTTTGTTCTGGAATTGGCCAATTTAAAATCAGGATATGGTGTCACACCATAGGACATGGTTTTCAGAGACAAAATGTATCAAGTTCCTATGCTTTCAGAAATATATGGATGAAAAAAATTACTGCCATTTACTAAAATAGATACTTGTACAATTATGCCAGAGGTATTTATTAACATTTCTGTGGTTTTCTTTTTAATTTATAGCCTAAAAGATGTAATTAACTAAACCATGCTTGGGACAGTCACACCATAGGACAATTTTGAGATTTGGCTCAAATTTTCTGCAAAAACATCAGAAAATAGTTTAATTAATGCAATTATTGCATTTAAGAACACTGAAAATTATCAAAAAATAATTAAAAAAGGAGTTAAACAAATCTTATTTAATTATTTAAAATGCTTTTTAAAGAGACCTTGTCCTCTGGTGTGACATCTTTGTCTTGTGGTGACAGTACAGGCGTCACACCGGTGGACATTTTCTGTCACACCAAAAGACGTTTTAGCCTTTTTGCGTAAATTGATGACCTTGCTATTCCAAGCTAACCTGTCATTAGCGGTTGGCAAGACAAATTTGCATAATTTTCCATGATTATGTAGTTTACCATACAGTTTTTAATTAAAAAATATAATTTAGGGGTGTCACACCAAAGGACAACAAAACGTAACACTTTTGTAGTGTTTCCAAAAAAGTTAAATATTTGAACAATTCTGAGAGAAAAATTACCTTCACAGGGGGCTTCAGTAATACGACCATGAATGGGGTACTTCAACTAATTAAAGTTTTCTCTGGAATTGGCCGATTTAAAATCAGGATATGGTGTCACACCATAGGACATGGTTTTCAGAGACAAAATGTATCAAGTTCCTATGCTTTCAGAAATATATGGATGAAAAAAATTACTGCCATTTACTAAAATAGATACTTGTACAATTATGCCAGAGGTATTTATTAACATTTCTGTGGTTTTCTTTTTAATTTATAGCCTAAAAGATGTAATTAACTAAACCATGCTTGGGACAGTCACACCATAGGACAATTTTGAGATTTGGCTCAAAGATTTCAAAAATTGAATAACACTGCAGCTTTACGGTTGCAAAGGGGTGGAACATTTCTGAAAAATTTCCCAAAATCTCTGGAAGATTCCAAAAAATCCTGGAAAGTTTCCAAAATTTCTGGAATGTTTCTGAAATTTGCTGGAAATTTTCCACCTTTTTGCAACTCTATGTAGGACAAAGAAATGTTTAATGATTTACCGCATTTTAAATAACAACAATATTAATTATATTAATTTTTATCTTGTGGGACAGTGAAAATGCCATGTCACGTCTACAACCCATATATCATTAGATAATAGGTAGGCCTATATTTCATTTAAAAAAAACTTATAATACAAAACTGTCTTAAAGGGATAGTTCACCCAAAAATGAAAATTCTGTCATTAATTACTCACCCTCATGTCGTTCCAAACCCGTAAGAACTTCGTTCATCTTCGGAACTCAAATTAAAATATTTTTGATTAAATCCGAGAGCTTTCTGACCCTCCATAGACAGCAAGGGAACTACCATGATCAAGGCACAGAAACGTAGCAAGGACATTGGTAAAATAGTCCATGTATCTATATTCTATTGACAGAATTTTTATTTTTGAGTGAACTACCCCTTTAATGCACTGCGATTATTCAACTCAAAAGGTATGGTGATATCTATTTTAGTTAAAACGTTTACCCTATTCATCCGTAGTGTCTTGCCTTAAACCATAAAAACTATGTTAGTGCAGCAAACCTTCTCATGTTGGTTTTAATGGCTTTTAGCGATGATAGGAATGTAAAACATTAACTGTCAAATGTAGCAGCTACTCTGCTCCTTCATGGTGTGTTTGCTGTAACAAAAAGTAAAAGTATATGCTTTATTGTGAACAATAAACATCTTATAATTAGTCAAATGAGCAGGTACACATTTACAGCATGCATGTCCCTCCATTTGAAACGTTGGAAATAAATGTATATCAGGCGAACCAATAGAGTGCTTTGCACATATCACGTGAATAATTCGAGCCAATCACCGGGCAGACCTTCAAAGGTTCCTCGACCCAGTTGACGTAGTTCGGTTGCAGAGCGCTAAATACCAATCCTGAAGCGAGACGGGCGAGTCAGCCATTTTAGCAGGGCTGATGGACAGTCTCTCAACCTTGATTGTTTTTCCTGATAACAAACTCTAAAGGTGTAATATGCCTTATTTACACTTTATCAGCCAAACGACAAATACCTGCACATGACGCTATAGCTAATTGCAAGTCGTTTGCATGCAATGCCGTGTGCGTATATGCAGAGAAACAGCACTTGTGTGTAATAAAGCGCCGTCTACAGTCAGCAAAGCAGCGCCTTTCAGTGCTGGAGCCATATTTAGAGAGTGCAAGCAAGCAACCGCAGCGCTACCTGCCCCCGTGACATTACTGTTTATAGAGAACAGAGGAAAATAAATCAGCACACTTACTCTTTTATCGATCGCTCGAAACGACAGAGAATGCCGGTCATATCCAGGGGCGACAGCGTCCTCTTCTGTAGCAAGACGGGCTTCCTCAACCCTCCATTGAAAAGACTTCCCACAAAAACGTTTCTAAACACATCCCGGCTGTTTACACAACACTAACACCTTGACATGGTGCCCGAGTGTTTCAAATAGGCGCCTGACATTATTGCAGAGTGTATCAGGTGCATTGAACGTTGGTTTGTAATTAAATTGGCAAGAAAAATACGCCCCTTTAGAAAAAAAGCGAATTCTCGGCTTTGGGTTTGCACTTGGCGCGCGCATCATGCGCACTGGTCTGTGATTGGTCGAAATGGTCACCGTGAGGCCGTGAAGTCTTACTGAAGCCAGTAGAGACTGAGAGCGATGAGAAAAACAACGCAACTGACTTCCCTCATATGTTTGCGCGCATAGACTCCATGTTCACATGCTACATAAACGTCCGTGTAATGTATGGTACATTGTGGGGGGAAAAAACATAATTTCTTGACGATAGTCGACACAGTAGTTAATAATAATAATAATAATAATAATAATAATAATAATATAATGATGTTTTAAACATAATTTTTGTCCTTTTTTAGCATTTTTTGTGTGTTGGAGGGCACACTAGTTAGCTATTATATTCAGTATTGGGCCATACTAACCTAAGACATTGAAATGTAATAATAATACAGGTAATATAATAATAATAATAATAATAATGGTTTAAACTTAATTTTTTTCCTTTCCATTTTCCTCTGAATATAAAGACCATCTTTTAATGGTAGCCTGTGATTTTTGTCCACTTACTATTCATTATTATTATTATTATTTATTTTATTTATTTTGTAACGTGTTTGAACAACCTGAGATAATTTAATCTTTTCTTTTTTCCTATGAATATCTTTTAATGTGTATATACACTTTATGCATGTAAGTAGGCTATGCTTTATCATTTTTCCCAGATACACTGGTGTTGGAGAGCACACTTATTATATTCAATATTGGGCCATACTGACTTAAGACACTGAAATTGGACACAAATGTGACCCTGGACCACAAAACCAGTCATAAGTTGCACGGTTATATTTGTAGCAATAGCCAACAATTTGTAACAATTGTAACAATTTGTTAAAAACTTGTATGGGTCAAAATGACTGATTTTTCTTTTATGCCAAAAATCATTAGGATATTAAGTAAAGATTATGTTCCACGAACATATTTTGTAAATTTCCTACCTTAAATATAACAAAACTTAATTTTTGATTAGGAATATGCTTAGGAAACTTTAAAGGCGATTTTCTAAATATTTAGATTTTTTTGTACCCTCAGATTCCAGATTTTCAAATAGTTGTATCTCGGACAAATATTGTCCTATCCTTATTTATTCAGCTTTCAGATGATGTATAAATCTCAATTTCAAAAAATGGACCCTTATGACTGGTTTTGTGGTCCAGGGTAACAAATGTTAAAATCAAAATTTCACGTATTTTCAATCTCGTCTGTATCTAACATATTCTGGAAGTATAACATATTTATAATTCATCCGGCTCCAGAATATTCTATCAACCCCCATTTCATTCCAAGTGTTTGGATGACTTTCTCCACCCCCCAAAACTCATTGGCTTTTCCTAAGCCTTTAGTGGGAACCCTCTAATTCATTATTGTAAAGCACACCACTGTCTTGATCGGCGTCAGTGTCAGTGCTGCCCCAGCACCGTGGAATTTCACCGCAAACATCATGGTAAGTGTGAGACTGGGAGGATGCTGTTTGATTGATAGATCCTTAGAAAGTCATTAATGTCTGTTTGATTTGAAGTACGCTGGAAGCTCTGAAAATGCATTTGTGGTCATATGGTAGAAACGTATGTATTATTACTCATAAATCTCAACAAAATATTAAGAAGTCATATAAAATGTGTCTTTTTACATTTTATATATACATATAGCCTAATATTATTTTACTTTGTAAAACATTTTTACATTAAAATATTTATATATATTATATAAATAGAATTTAAAAGACACATGCTTACCACTTATTATGTGTATTAATACTAAGCCTATGTGTATGTTTATAGGGAGAGATGGCTATCTAGTATTAATAATTGTAATAAAACAGACTACATAGCCTGTACATATATTGCAAAAAATGTAATTAATTAAATTAAAATATTATATATATATATATATATATATATATTTGAATATATATTTGAATATATAAATGTTTTTAAATGTGTTAATATGTAAACAGCCAGATTGTCTGTTTGGCTTGCAGGTCAGGATCAGCAACATGGGAATCGTCTCTTTATGCATAGTATTGCTGCTGGGGTCAGAGATCTGCATAGCAGGTATTACCAAAGTTTGTTGATATATGGATATATAATGTAAAAGTTAAATATTCTTGCGTTCTGCAGTTACTATGTTTTTGTCTCATGTGAAATTGTTATGATGTAATGGCATCACACAGAAGCACATCAAATTATTTCCTGTATACTTAGAATCCGTTCTGGGTCTGAAAGAAATACAATAGAGGCATTGGTTACTTTTATGGCATCTCGTGTAATTTCATAAACAGCAGAAATCTGTGCCAACTCGTCTTGTCCTCACCGCGTGAAGTTCTTGAATTTCACAGGCCTGTCATATGATAAATGGCTGAACAGTCAGCTGGGCACATCATCAAAGATAGTGACCACATCCTGTTTGGCACACTTCATACCCCATTCTGACAGAGAGGAAGTCAGCCAGCTGAAACCCTCTCAAAAACGCTTATAAATCAATTCAAAGCCTTGAACAAGCGGAACAGTGTTTAAGACATGCCAAGCTATGACAGCACGTCGAGGGCCCTCTGTGTCTGTCATAAATTGAATAGGAGGAGCTGATGAGTGTCAACATCACTCTATGGTGTTGATGGAGTCCTGAGGGCCTCACTCAACTTTAGCTTCAGATACTCTTTGACTGCCCTTACCAGGCCTTCGTGATCAAGTGTCAAAAAACAGTAACACCAATTAGTCACAGTTCAGCCCTGCAATGAGTCTCTCACTTCTGAGAAAGTAGGAAAAACTCAGCCAAACTTTGCGGGCTCCGGAAACCAGGAAGCTGCCTAAGAGAGCATCAAACGCAGCCGGGCCATTCACTCATCATTATCTCCCCGAGATTCGCAGACTGAGCGAGGATGGGGCTGCCGGACAAAGGGTTCTCTGATGACTCTGGCTAATTTAAGATGGAGCTATTTGTGACACAAATGCAGCAGGAAGTGAGACTCCCAGCCAGAGGACTGATTTGGCAGATCAATAGAGGAGCCACTGAAGTCTTGGCCATGTCTTTCTGTGTCAGCTCGAGGTCACTTTTGAACAAACACACTCTTGAACAGATCTGAGGTTTTCAAATGTGTTTACTCAGTAGGACTCTGTTTTGTTTATCGACTTCAATCCCTTCAAATGTATTGATGTTATGAACAGGGTTCTGTGATGAGATTCTTATATTATCTACACAAAAGTTTGGGTTCAGTAAGATGGTTTTTCTTTTTGAAAGAAATGAATACTTGAATTCAGCAAGGATGCATTAAAGATTTAACTTTCTATTCATGGTTTCCACAAAAAAACATTAAGCAGCACAACTGTTGTCAACACTGATAATTAGAAAAATGTTTATTGAGCTGCAAATCAGCTAATTAGAATGAAGGATCATGTGACACTGAAGACTGGAGTAATGGCTGCTGAAAATTCAACTTTGCCAACATGAATAAATTCGATTTTAAAATGTATTAAAACACAAAACAGTTATTTTAAATTGTAATAATACAATTTACACAATATACTGTTTTACTTTATTTTTGATCAAATGAATGCAGCTTTGTTAAGCACATAAGAGACTTCTTTTAAAAAGAATCTCCACCGACTCCACGCTTTTGAGCGATAGTGTATATAAATGTATTTGTATTTACAATAAATTAATTATATTAATAATATAATGTTTCCATTTCAGCAAGGCAAGAACTGATAGTTACCACCATCAAGGTAAGATTAAAATAAGTTAAAAATGATAAAACATTATGTTATGTTGTATTTTCACATTATTTATAATAACAATAATTTCATTGTATTAATAATTTATTATTTACACCATATTAATGTTTGATTTCAGCAAGACCCCTACACAATGAGCAAGGGCTCGCAGTTGGAAGGCTACTGTATGGATCTGCTCACTGAGCTGGCTAAGAAACTGGGTTTCAAATACAAAGTTCACCTGGTGAAGGATGGAGCGTATGGCCGGCAGGATGAAAGTGGAAACTGGAACGGAATGATCGGGGAGGTTGTTAGAGGGGTATGTGATGAATTTTACAGTAAAATACACAGTAGTACTGGTCCTGTACTGATGCATATAAACTGAAAACCAGCATAGCATTTAAATCATCTTGATGATATTAATCCTTCCTAGGTAATGTCAAACCTTCCATGTATTTTGTTCACAGGAAGCTGATCTCGCCGTGGCTCCCCTCACTCTCACTGCTGCCCGTGAGAAGGCAGTGGGAATGACAAAACCTTACATGCAGACGGGAATCAGTATCCTCCTCCGCAAAGATAACGTTTCTGAGGAGGCCGGGTTTTTTGACTTCCTCTCCCCCTTCTCTGGGGAGACCTGGTTCGGCGTCCTGATTGCATACTTTGTGACTGCAGTCTGCATCTGCATTGTGGGAAGGTCAGAGAAAGGAGGAGAACACCACCACAACACAAGAGCCCTTACTTATTTACCGCACAAAACATTCGATTAGTATAGCTGTAAAACTGCTGTGCTGTTGTCCAGGATGGTTTCTGAATAGGATTCTGAAACTCAATTCTGTATTTGTCTTTTTATGTCAAGGTTGAGTCCATGTGAATGGAGTCAGCCTGAGACAGAGCCAAATCACTTCACGCTCCTCCACAGTTTGTGGTACGCTGCGGGAGCCCTAAGCCTGCAAGGTAATCATGTGAATCATGTATAATTGTATGAATGTAATAGCAGTTTTTAGTGGTCATGCACTGAAAAGCCCAAAGTCTTGACCCTTCGAATGCAGGATATATTCCATCATCTGTCCAGTGTCAACCATATCCCTTATGGCCATTTTAATCTTTTTTGCTACACATTTTGCAATATCTGTGGAATCTTCACCAAATTTATTTCATATCAAGCCTTTTTTTAGTTTTAATAATTGTTCTGCAGAACCTTAATAGTGCACTATGGAAGTTTTTCCTACAATAATGATTTACATTTTGAGTGGTCGAGTTGATTTTCATGTTTATGCCAGGTCCATCAGTTTTATTCTAGTAGTATTTAATTATATAGTTTTTATTAATATTATGAATTAGCATTTGTTTTTATTTTTTCAATTTTCATTTTAATTTAGTTATTTGCTTTTGTCATTTTTCTTTTTTTTTTTTTTAAATAATACTATTTAGGTTTAAGTTATTTTTATTTCAGTTTTAGTTCTTATATATTTGCAGATGCTTCAGCTTCAACTTCAGCTTTTAATCTAATATTTATATTATTTCAGCTTTATTTCAGTTTTCCAGACTTTCCTTTTTTTATAGTTTATTTTATATTACTATTTAGGTTTAATTAATTTTATTATTTGTTTTAGTTTTAGTTTTAGTTTTTATTATTTCCAGTTAGTAATTTTAGTGTTTCAAATTAACTCTATTTTAGTTCGTTGCCAAGGCAACATTTGTCATTTTCATTTAGTGTGTTTTTCATCTAATAATTATTTTATTTTCAGCTTTATTTCAGTTAACAAAAATGTTAGCTACTAAAGCAGCAGCATTTAAAAAAAAACGTTTTTCAACCACAGATGGCAGTAAAAAAGCGAAAGTGGTGCACCATTGCCAATTTTCTGGCGAAGATGCCAAACAGGAAGTGGAGCTCTGTTTAGAGGTGCTTTGGTATATAAAAACAAAACTTGGAAAATCTCATCGCTGCCATGCCCTTACAGAGTGCAAAATGTTAACACCTGCACCTCCTACTTATCAAAATATATACACAATAATATACTTAAATCCTTTAAAAACAGGAATATGTCGCCCAATGTATTTTACAATGTATTTTCCACATACTGTATAGTCAGCATTACAAGGTATAGTTCACTGGGGTGCTTGGCCCTTTATTGCTGCCTGCAGATATTTTGCTATCTAAACTACTTTTCAGCCGTTGATAATGGAAGGATAACGTCTTTTCCTCTCATTTGTTTTGCTTTCTGCAGGTGCAGGCCCTCACCCTAAAGCTGTGTCAGGAAGGGTTATCAGTTGTACCTGGTGGTTGTTTGCTGTGGTGCTCCTGGCCTGTTATTTTTCCAGCCTCAGTTCCTCTCAGGGGCCTGACTCTGCACCACTCATGATTAAAGGTTTTGAGGACTTGGCTAATCAGGATGTAATAGAATATGGAACACTTGCCGGCTCCTCCACTCTTGCCTTCTTTAAGGTCTGATCACATGAATTATTTCATCACATTTTTCCGATTACTCAAATTCATTCCTACCAGATGGTACAGAAAAGATTTCCTAACGTATTTTCTTTTTGCACAGAACTCAAATAACCCATCTTACCGTCGTATCTATGAGCACATGGAGCGGAGAAAGAGTTTTGTGTCCTCCATGGATGAGGGTGTCCAGAGAGCAAAGGAAGGAAACTATGCTTTTATTGGAGAATCAGTGTCCTTGGACTTGGCTGTGGCACGCCATTGTGAACTGGTCCGGGCGCATGAGGTCATCGGGATGAGAGGTTACAGCATTGTAACTCCTCTTGGTGAGACAAACATATTTATGCAGTTTTAAATGGAAAATGATTTTCCAAAGCTGTAAATAAAGATTATTGGAGTATGTTTTAATAGAAAATACTAGTCTTAGTCTTTCCTCTCTCACAAGATCTCATGTTAAATTCAGTGTCTTTAATTATTTTTGAAATTTACTACAATTTCTGAGTGAAATTTTAAAGTTATGTTGTTGTTGTTGTTCAAAGGAGTTTAAAAACGTATACATTAAAGCTATAGTTCATCAAAAAATAAAAATTTAGTGAAAATGTATTCATCCACAGGCAATCAACGATGAGTTTATTTCTTCAGAGCAGATTTGGAGAAATTTAGCATTAGATCTCTTGCTCACCAATGGATCCTCTGCAGTGAATGGGTGCCGTCAGAATGAGAGTCTAATCAGCTGATGAAAACATCACAATCACAAGTAATCCACACATCTCATTCTGACGGCACCCATTCGCTGCCGAGGCTCCATTGGTGAGCAGATGTTCTCCAAATCTGTTTTTATGAAGAAACAAACTCATCTATAGCTGGGTTTCCCTCCAAAGTTGTGAATTTAACTTGTGCGCAAAATTGGAATATCGCATAAAACATTTGCGAATAAGCACTTTTTCCAACCAGTCAAAGAGAACAAAATCGTCACTTCCTGATAAACCGGCACTAAATATCACTAAGTAGGAGTAGCCACTGAATTTAATAATTTTCAAATATAATAAATTACTGGCTCCTCAGAGCGAGCTGATGAAACACAATAAATGCAGTCATTGCTTTCAGAGGTGGATGCCTGCTGTTTGGGAATGCAGTCATGTAAGGCAGTTCTGGGAGGCAATTACAGAAATACTTTGACGACATACGTTGCTTGGGCGTTTAAGAATGGTCATAACATTTCAAATGCTGTGCAACGAGATCGGTCCACTGGTTAGTCAGGTTATGCCATCCCATAGCGTGAAAGCCACATGACGTTTTTGATGCGCATGGAGGAATTTATATGCAAAATGCATTTCCAGCTCCCATTATTCACATTAACCCGTTTTCGAAAAAATCAAAAACTACCTCAAGCCAGCGTATTATTTTTATTTTTTGCAAATTAAGGGATTTTTTTTTCTTCTGAAATTTGATGCGATACTTCAAATTTTCATTATTGCATGAACTATTGCTTTGAAATTTACCTAAACATACTTTTGGTTGAATTATTTGTTCAAAGAGAGACACAAGACATGTTGCCGTTGCTGCAGTTCAATCTGCAGTGAATGGTTTTAATGCCACAGTATTTTTGGAACAGGATCTCCAATGCTGAAGAACCTGAGCGTGGCCATCCTGCAGCTGAGTGAGGCTGGGGAGCTGGCGTACCTGCGCACTAAGTGGTGGGCCAGCAGCTGTATACCGGATAGTGCCAAAGGCTCGTCTCTGAGGGCCCACAGCATGAAGGGCATCTTCCTGGTTCTGGCTATAGGCCTTGGGATTGGAGTGTTGCTCTCCTTGTTTGAACTCACCTCAAAGTCTCGCAGCACTGCAGGGGAGCAGAAGGCAAGTAATGCCAATATAAACACACACACATCTCAATGAACTACCACACCAGGAAGAAAATTGACAGTTTTTCATTGCTGTTAAATTTAAGCGCAGATTTCAACTGTACAGTAGCACATTTCAATATGTGTTTTTGTTCATTATAATACAGTCGGTGAAAATAAACCTGTTCTCATCGATACAGAAATCCTGCTGTGCAGTTTTGACTCAGGAGCTGAGCCAGCGTTTGAGAATGACCAACACAAAGGGAGACCAGGAAACCTCAGACAAAAACAAGGCATAAAATGCTCAAACACTGATGTAATATGCAAGTCTTACATTATTAGGTTTGTACATTATCTGGTGCTAGGTATTATTACTATTTCCCAAGTTAGAAAATTATATTTTTTAACATTTTATATTTTTAACTGATTTAGATGAGCTGTACTAAAACTGCAGAGATTTTAATACATAATCTTTTTTTCTTTTCTTTTTACATTTAAATCAAGCTGCCTGTCTGTTCAATGATGCAATGAGACACCTTTTAATTTACTTCTTGCAGCAAAATATCATGCAGTTGTTTGTATTAGATCAATCTGGAAACAATATAGAAACAGAGATTTTTAGACCAGCATTACGAGTCAAAAATGTTAAATGTGAAATCTATTTTGCGAATGAATGTCAAAATTTGGAGACAACTGAACAAAGAGTAAATTTGATTTTATGTTTGTTAAATTCTGTACATCAGAGGAAATGTTTGTAATAAATTCAGAAATGCAAGGGAAATGTCTATGAAAAGTAAAATATTTCATGTAAGTAAAAATGATAAGTAACATATTACAGTTGTTTTGTAATTCAAACATAGGAAACACATAAAATTATGTTAAATTAAAAAAAAAACTCTTACTGTCACAAAAGAGGTATGCATTCTGGCACCATGTATATTAATGAATTAATAAACTTGATCTAACACCAAAGTGTGACTACATTTTTAGTTTCAATTCTGAATTGCAGCTTCCAAATGCAAATGTAACATTCCAGGCGCCTTTTAGAAAAAATAATGAATTATGAGTCCAGATGGCATGAGTTGACGAGTAAGATTTAATCAAGATGATACTTGTACAAAATACAAATATGTATTTATGTAATTGCTTTTCTTCCTGTAGCATCTGTCCATACTCGTAATTGCAGTGTGGAATTTTGTTATTTCTGTTTCTTCTTAGGTTTCAAATGCATGTTTTTTTTTCTACAATGTTGAAGAATCTAAAAAAAAAGATTAAAACCCCACCACAAATTAACATCATTGAGATCTCTTGTACGCTCAAATAAAAAGTGTTTTTTGTTTTACTCAACCAGCATGAAAATAGCATTAATTTAACATAATTAATCATTTAGAAAAGGCACTTTTCTGCACCTTACGACTTACCTCTGAGAAACAGTGGCGAATGGCATCGAATCTCACGCATTTTCTGCTCAAACAGAGCATTCATTTCCCTCTGCAGTGTGCCCATTGTCTGCTGCTGGTTGCCAGGGAAACGGGATGGCAGAGTACTCAGGTCAAGGCTGTCCAAACTACTTAGGCTGCTTGATTCACTCTCAGCGAGGTTGTGATTATTATAAAGAGAGTTTTTTGGTGCAGAGTAACTGCACTGAGGGAGAGGGTGCTGGTTGAGGAAGTCTTTCCTAACGTGATGGGGTGTGTTTGGAGGCGAGGGCGGACGGCGTCTCGGGACGCTTTGTGATCTATGTCCTTTAAATGGTGAATCTTTGGAAGACGGTGTGTCTGGGTCATTCACGCGTCTGCTCAGCACAGGGGTTGCAGGGATTGACAACGGTTGCCACTGAGGGTTAAGCCTACCATCTAAAGAACGTCCATATTTATTCCTGAGCAACACAGTTCTGGGGTTTAACGTTCCACTGGAAGGATCTAGTACTCCATCAGGTATTGGATGGAAATTTAAGGGTTCACACTCTTGTGTAGGTTCTGACTGAATTTTCTGACTCTCTTGAGGTTCGTACATCTCAGGTTCCTGCTCTGCATCCTCAGATTTAACACCTGAGATCTGCTTCGACATGGACTGATTATTCAGTGTAGAAGTGGGAACCGCTAAGTTTGTAGACTCACATTCCTGTTTATTTCGTTTTGAAACAGTCAGCTCTTTGGTTTCCTCGAGGTGTGATTGAACCACAGAAGTCTGAATGTCCAAATCTAAACTGTCTTTTGAATCAAATGCTAAGTTGGTGTAGTCCATAGCCACTCCTGCTCCACCAGAACATGTGATGGAGGACAGGCGGCGCCGTGCCTCGTGAGATCCTTCCAGCTCCTGAAAACAGACCTTATGGGCCCTTCTAAGGGGTTCACTTTGAGCTCCTCTGAGCAAAGATGCAGATTGTGAGGTGCTCCTGCTGTCCTTTGAGCTCACGTCATCACTGTAACGTCTGTTTAGAAAGTCCTCTTTGGTGTAGCAGTCAGTTGAGCCCTTCACCACTTTTGCTTGGTTCTTTCCAGCTCCTTTCCGCAGGAAGTTCGGGCCAAAGGATGTCCTTGTGCCATCTTCAGAGGTCTGCATAAGGTTTTTCTGGATTAGCTGCTTTACTACGTTGCTTGATTTGACCTGGTTATCAATATATTAGCAAAACAATTTTATAATGTTAAAATGGTAATTAACAGAGAAGTTCACTTCCAGAATGAAAATTTCCTGATAATTTACTCATCCCCGTGTCATCCAAGATGTACATGTCTTTCTTCAGTTGAAAAGAAATTATGGTTTTTGAGGTAAACGTTCCAGGATTTTTCTCCATATAGTGGACTTCAATGGGAGCCAATGGGTTGAAGGTCCTAATTGTAGTTTCAATGCAGCTTCAAAGGGCTGAACACAATCCCAGCCGAGTAATAAGGGTCTTATCTAGCGAAACGATTGGTCATTTTCTAAGAAAAATACAAATTTATATACTTTAGTTTTTAACTACAAATGTTCGCCTTGCAATAGCTCGACCTCATGCATTATGGAATACGGTAGGCAGAAGTACTGACCCAGTGTCTACAAAGCGAACGTGTAAAGAAAGTCAAACGCCATTTACAAAAAAAAAAGGTAAAATTATGTCGGACGATTTTGAAGTTGGAGAAGAAAATGAGATGGAGTTACACAGATGAATAACTAACCGCATGTGACTTTCCCAACATTATTACGCAATGCCTGAAGACTCGCATGCGCATCGCAGAGCTAGTGTAAGACGAGCATTTGTGATTAAAAAGTATATACATTTGTATTTTTTTAAGAAAATGACCAATCATTTCGCTTGATAAGACTCTTATTCATAAACTGGGATTGTGCAGAGCCCTTTGAAGCTGCATTAAAACTGCAATTAATTTGGACCTTCAACCGATTAAAGTCCACTATATGGAGAAAAATCCTGGAATGTTTTCCTCAAAAACCTTAATTTATTTGTGACTCAAGAAAGAAAGACATGAACATCTTGGATGACATGGGGGTGAGTAAATGATCAGGAAATTTTCATTCTGGAAGTGAACTTCTCCTTCAACAACAGTCAAAATTTCAGTAGCCACATTTATGCAAAAGAGAAAAGAAATGTAATAAAAAGTTACCTTTCCTGTGATGTCATTAATGGCAACATGCACAAAGATAGATGCTTCTTCCATACCTTCTAAATAAACATGTCGATAGCCTGTGGAACAAGGAAATAATGTAACTCTGGCTGACTGAATTATTGACAAAAATGTATACAGCAAATGTATCAAAAACATATACAGCATTCTCTGTCCAATAATGTCACTGACTGTCATGTAATTTACCTGGCATCATGCTTTTAAATGCTATGGTTCTCTGTCCAATGAAGTCTCGTCCAATTGGATCATGGTCCCAAACCATAAAGCGTACTAAGGCAATCTGAGGCATGTGCAGAGTAAACACGAGTGTCTCCTCCCACATGGGGTTAAAACCTGTTACATGGGCAAAACATGGGAAACGGTTTACATTTAGCTGAGCTATACCAATCATTTTTTTTGTGTAAGCTATATATTTATGTTACATAAGCCTTTTATATTACATATAAGATTGTTAATATATAAGCAATGGATCATTTCAAATCGGACATAATGGAAAAATGATTTGCAGTTCAGTCAAATCACATGATTTTGTCTAATTTGTTGCAAAATGAACCATTACTCATGAATCTTTTTGCCTGACTCATTAAAAAGAAAAAGAGTCCTTTGTGTGAGAAACTGGCATCATGTGTTCATTTCATATGCAGGAAACACGACTTGCTTTTAAACACAAAGAAGATACGTGAAAAGAAAATGCACAAGACATCGCGCAACACTCAAAGACTGTTTGTTTATGTCTGAAAAATAATGACAAAACAGTGCAGTGGCAATCAAAAACACATTTTTATTTTATTTATAATAGTGCGATTAATCGCATCCAAAATAAACGTTTTTGTTTACATAGTATATGAGTGTGTACTATACAAACACATGCATGTATATATATTTAAGAAAAATATGTTATGTTTATATATTAAATATATTTATATATAATATAAAATATAATAATATAAATACATAAATGTATATACACATGTAAATATTTTCAAAATATATACTGAATGTAAGTGTATTTATATACACAATAAATAAACGCAGTACACATACATATATTATTCAAACAAAATCATTTATTTTGGATGCGAATAATCGCAATTAATCGTTTGACAGCACTAATTTATAATTATTATCGCATACTGTTGCCATCAGTCAGCCACAAAAAAAACACACATATGAAACACCTACTAACCCTTATAGGCTGTACTGCCAAGTTCTGTTTGAACAATTCAGTTCTGTACTTACCGTTGTCATCTACTACTCTTGTCTGCTGTTTATTGCAATCGATAGGCAATCCAATAATCTCCACTTCCACAAAGGGATCTATGATCTGGACAACAAACATTCAATCTCAGACAGCTTGTAACATTTTATCATTTACTTTAATTTCAGTATAAGTGATCTCACCTCTCCTCTGTCTCCTAACATGGAGTCTTTTGGCTTTGGTAGCTGCTGGCCACTAATTATCTTGAGCACTAGCTGAGATTTCCTGTGTCCTGGCAAAGGGTCTTCCAGCATAGGATTAAAGGCACCTGAGGACAATCATTTTGTGTGGTGAAAAGTGCCTTTCAAAGAAAATAATACATTTAATGCATCAAATAAAGGTGTCTTTTTTTTGTCTGCACTCTGGAGGCACCAAGCTACCTTTACACAAGCATTTTGGCTTCAGCACATAGCCGCAGTTTCCATTCGCTGCAAATTTTGCCCTGTTCAGCTGTAGCATACGGCCTTCTGTTTGATAGTTGAGAGCGACTGGAAAGATGAAACAACATTTCAAACAAATGCATGGCACAACTGTGATACGTAAAAAAGGATCCATTGCTGTTCAAATCAAAGTCGTTGCCGTTTCATCATTAATGAAAAACAACAGGCTTTGATGATAATTAGAAAGGAAATTATTCACAATAAATGAAAGAAAAAAGCTAATTCATACCTAAATGACATCTTGCATTCCAAAAAGGCTGAGGATTGAAGTTGCTAGAATCTACACGGTAGTTGGAAGGGTAGACTCGTAAGAGCTGTCGTTGATTCAAGCGAACTAACTGGGCAGGCTTTAGCTGCAGAATCTGTTTAGTTAGGCTTTCGTTTAAGGAGGACACTTGCCAGCTGCACATGTATGCTGCAACACACATGCAGTTTATTTAGACATATACATCAAGAACACTTCTACAGTTTGTGCTCATGGAGTGACTAGATCATTTATGTGGATATTATTGAGGTAGCAACTGTATTTACATTTGTCTTACCTTGAGTTTCTATATCGTGAACTCGCACTGACTTCGTGTATTTGACTAGATCAGAGAGGGCACGAGAAAGTCTCATTGTTTTCCTTCGTCTGCAAAGAAATTTGCATAAAACACAAACTATTATTAAACGGGAGAGATTTAGATTAGATCAGACATTGTATCACACACTGTAAAAATATTTGTAAGAATGGTACAATACAACAGTGAAAAGTTATATTTAATAAGACAATTAATGTTACTGTACAAGTTATGTTTTTAGTTATCATTAGTATCATCACAGTTATTTTAGTATAATTGAGATATTATTATAGTTTTTTTTATCTTTTAAACTTGTTTTATTTTTATATTTTCTGTTTTCAGTTTCATTTTAGTTGAAGTTTTGGTAATTTTGTTGTGGTTTTTTTGGTCATTTTTATTTTTTTGTAATGTGTATATATAGTTTTCATTATTTCTTATTTCAGTTTTAGTTACATTAATAAGTTATTTCAGTTTTAGTTATTTTAATACATCAAGATAAACTAACTGAAAAGCAGAAATGTTGCCTTGGCAACTATAGTTGAAATAAAATAAGTTTAGGTTTTTCATATAATTTATCACAGTTGAAATGTATTTTATTTTATCTATTTATTTTATTATGTAGGTAAACAAGCTGTACAATACTTTAACATGATTTGTTATGGTTAAAATATTTTTTCTAAATGAGAAATACAGCATATATGTTGAAATACAGAGAAAAGAAGTTTCTGATGCATCACATTTCATTTGATTTAAATAGTTTCTTATTTTAGTTATACGTTTTGTACATGGGGGAGTTATGCTATGTTTTATGTTATTTAATTAACATTTATTGAATATAGTCATGAATATATACAAGCACCAAAATGCCATCCTGTAACATTGAAAACTTTTTTTTTGCTGTGACTTTCTGACAACCTCAGATGCCTTTTTTTCACTGTACATTTAGCAGATTTATTTTTTTTTTTTTTTTTACAATTCACAGCAAATTCAACAACAAACTGTATCTCCTGAAATACTCACTTGCCATAGTTGATAACCTGTTTATCATTACTGCTTGGAATTTCCTGCTCATTATCGGAGTCACTCAGGACGGGCCTCTTTTTTAACTTTATTCGCTTTTTCTTCTGAAACACAGAATATTATATCACTAGTATAATGCTGATTGTGTGAGATTCCTTTTTCCTAAATTACTGGAAATGTAATACGCCTAGTGGAAAGTCCTTGGAGACCTTGCGCCTGAAGCTGTCCATGAACAACCTCTGTGAGCGTTTCTTTGATTCATCACCCGTCTCTGGTGCTCCTTCAGTGGTCTGTAATCCAGAACACAGCAGTTTTTACTTAAACACTCCAGAGGGGGAATAACCCAATTATTCTAATGTAGAAAAAAAGAAAAGGCATCTCACATCTCCATTAATTTGCTCCTCTTCCTCCTCATCCTCGTCACCGCTGTCTTCATCAGACACATCTCCTTCCTCTGCATCAGCATCAATGTTTGCTGGCAGCTTCTTTCCCTGGAAAGCACCGCAATGTCAGGTTTTTCCATGATTTAGTCACCAAAAAAAAATGCTACTTCCAACTTCCAACAAGTACAATATATTACCTCACCTTGACAAGCACTTTCCCTTTTAAAAGCTCTGGAGATGGCAGACGTCTGGACTCATTCACATTTATATTTGACAGGTCCAGCTTGTCCTGTAGCACTTCCATGAGGTGCTGAGCCATTTTCTTCTGCTGAGGCACAGTGCAGTGGTTCTCTATAGAAAGGATCACTGGATATCTGAATACTATTTAATTTTTTTACTACTACTACTAATATTAATAATAATAATAATAATTTCTATAATCTTAAAAAAATATATCACTTACTGAGTTTTGGCAAATGCATATTTGTTGATCGTCTCAACAACATCTTTAAACAGGATTTTTGAGGTAAGTGTGTAACCATGATGCACAATCGGTTCTCCATCAGGACCATCCCAGCAGTCAACTGGAGAGGCAGAGAAATTTGAAGTCATTTGAAGGATAACAATTTCTCCGTCATTTGAAGGATAACATATTTTGTTTAATGACTGTAAACACCCCATTAAAATGTATTTTACTTTGACCGATACTTTATCCAAAAAGGCATTCACTTTGATCTGCAGCATGTTGACAACAAGCTTTTAGGTTGAGAGAAGTACTTCTACCTTCCACACAGCGACAGCCTGCCTGAAGCACATACGCATACATATCAACCCGAGACTGAGACAGCAGCTGATCTCCGGTCAGGTAAGTGTTGTGAGACGATGCGATATAGTAATTAGTCAGTGGTTGTGTCATGTCCTGGTTTACTTGATAGTGTTCTGGGTTGAAGACGTCCCCTGCAGGACTACGCATGTAGTTGGTGAAACCTTAGAAAGCAAGATAAATGTTGTAAACATCCGATGATACAATAACCAGATTAAAAGATGAGGCAAAGAAAGAGTCTCTCACCATCAATACCCAGCACCATACGTGTTTGGTTTTCAGAACATGGCTCAAACTGGTTGATGATCATCTTGCAGTAGTCTTTGGTCACATTTACCATCTAGGAAAAGAGAACATACACCAATCACAAATAAGACGGTGCATGTCCATCAATAGAGCAGCATATTTAACAAATAACTTCGTGAAGATGTGCTAAATGAATCACACCAGCCTTTTGCTCATTTTCCAAGAAGCGTTGGAGGTCGTTCAGGTCCATGTGCTCTTTGTGGTTGCTGTAGGTGATCATTAGTAAGTAAAGATCTCTGCGTGTTGAGATCAGCTTGTAAAAGGTACAGAATTCCTCAAATGTCAACGACCCCTGGTTTTCATCAGTGTCAGCCTCCTGTGAATGCACAGGGTTTTCTTTGAGATGAAAAAATGTGTAAAACATAATCTTACAAATATTTAATATAGAAATATAATACAATGTGCATGTTTTGGGGCAGTGGTTACAAGACAAACATTAATTGTCATTGGTTTTGGTGGAGACTGCAGGCAATTACACAATTATTTTATTATATTTATTTTATTTTAATTCAAACTTTTCTTTAGTGAAAGTAGTGTTATGGTATTGGTTGCAGTAGAAATATATGTCTCCATTAAGGATTAGAGGCTCTAGAGTTAAGACCTCAACCAGTTTCAGACAATGCCATCTGTTCAAAGTAAACTATATGTTACTTACTGAGCGTACTTATCTGCATCTTTGCTAATAGCAATGTGGAAGTGTTTTAAACCAATATAATGTGGCAATGATAATATTTAAATTTTCATGTTAAATAGAATATCACTTATATTTAAAGGTGATATAGGCTAGTACAGACAGTAATACTGGTGGCGTTTGAATTAGGCCTAGGCAATCCATATTATAACGACTTTTTTTCTCCTACTTTCTGCGTATATGCCAGAATGACGCGTCAAATCAGGGTATGTTTTCAAAAAAGTTGCTTTGGAGGAGCGGATCAAGGACAGAGGGGTCATGTGACGCAGCTAGTCAGTCTAATCTCTGCGGATTGTTTGTGTCCATATGCCGCCATGAGAGGGGACACTGCCTTATTATTAAAACTCGAATTATTTGAAGTGTACTTAAAGGTGAGTAACATACAAAATTACTCTAAACATAAAACTGAATCAAGTATGAAACAATAAGATTTTAAAACTGCAGAATTAAACCCAGCACAGTTAGATCATGTATCAATTATAGTGAAAAAAAAGAGTAAAAATATGAGATTTGGTGTCTTAATTCTTACCTATCTGGCCCATTCGCCATTTCAGTGATGCAACAATACTTCCCCCTATCCAGAAGAACTCCTCAGCCAAACGTGATATCGCAGCTTTCTGCCATAGTTTAGGTGAAGTCATTATAGAAGGAGAAGGCGATCTGAAAGGTGAAGGTGACCTCCTCCCAGGACTGGGGGGCTGCCTGGTGAGAGATGGCGAAAACAAGACTGGAGATGATGGTGCCGTTCCCGGAGATGTGTTCATTACTGCAGGACTCTTGTGTGGTCATAACCTAGACCTCTGGTCATGTCCCTCGCCCACCGTATTAGTCCTGTAACTCATAAGGTCAGCTTTCTTCCAACCAGCGAGACAGGGGTTACTGAAATGATGAGCCAACACTTCTCAAGGGTAGCAATGTGCATGTGGACAGATGATTTAATTCCAGTTGGTACCTCTGTTTGACTGATCCTCTTAGTGATTGACCCTCCCTCTGGTCCATTGATAGTGAGTTTTCTTCAGATATTCCAGTGTGAGTGCTCAATTGGACTGCTGTTGTGGACCGGCATGCTGTGGCTGCAAGTTTAGGAGGAACTAGGGTGGGTTGAGGAGCCACATGTGTCAGCAATCAGTAAATCTCTAATCCAGGATGAGGTGAAGGCATTACTCGTACTGGGGATTTTCATGTCTCATTGGTCAACTTGAGGGAAAGGATAGGGGATGATATATCAATATTTTTGTTTGTCTAAAAGTAAAAACATTGCCAGTTAACATGAAAACATGACATTCCTTTTGATTTCATCATCTTTTTTGTTTTATCATATACATACAAATCAACATTTGGTGTGCGTTTAAAACAGCTTTTGCCCTAGGTACACTTGCGCATAGTTTTTCAGGTAGCTTTGCAGGTAAGTTTCTTGAAGCATCTTGGAGATGTTGCCACAGTTATTCTGGATTTAGTCTGACTCAGTTTTTTCTGATTTTTCATATTCCAGACAGACTGGATGATGATGAGATCGGATCTGTGTGTGGAGCACTGGCTGTTGTCAGACTCCTTGTGCAAACAAAAATCCATTGTTTGGCCTAAGACGCTTGCACAGTAGTACACACACACACTATATATTTATCTTTACATTTAAAATGCTGCTATCAAATCTAGGCTCTACAGTGGCCCTAGATTTATGTAATCTTAATATTGTGCGACACAAAAAATATCAGGAAACACAAGAAGAATGGTTGATTCTGTTTAATGATGTTATTATACGTGGGGGAACATTAAAACAAGTGACGAAAATGACCCACATCAAAACCAAAACTATGACAAGATCCTGAACACAATGCATATCTCTAGTGTGACCATGAAAACATCAAAAGGTTATAAACTGACATAGGCAAGCATACAGATCTCGTTATATAGAAGGGGAAGTAAAAATGTACCCAGAATAAATAGAGAGATGGAAAAGTTAGTATATGAATTACTGCAGGTTTATTCAAGACAGGGGTAATGGAGATAAAAGATTATTAGAAATTCAGCAAATACTCTTTACAGTTCATCAGTCACATTTCTGTTTTATCCACCACAAACTCAGAATGGGAAACTTTGCTTTGGTAATTATATAAAGTGATTTCCAAAGGGACTGAATTTATTCAGAAATATAATTATCTAAGTTTTTTGTTGTTAATATTACATAAGGATTTTATATAGTAAATGCCCTCTAGTTGAAATTATGATAGGAGAAATTCATTTATGTTTTAAATTTTTTATACATAAGAGTCTATTGGTTTGGAGCAAAAGCATTTAGAGTGAAGTGTAAAGCACGCTATCATATTTACATCATGTTTTTATGTTTAAGTGGTATTCACATCTGTAACAAATGTATGAAAACTTCTTTATTCAATACTTGGTGTCTGAAATTTGAAAAAAAAACAGAGGGCTTCAAATACACAATACAACTATCTTTTCTTAAAAGTGCAATTCTTTTTTTTTGGTAGAAAGTAAAAAAATATATATCCTTAATTTCTATATAAGTAGAAATGTTATTTTCATTAACAGCATTTTTTTTTTTTTTACGTTAAATGAGCCCTTAAAACCAGGACTAAAATTGGATGTTTGTCACAATTCTGATTCTGAACGAAACCCCCCCCAAAACAAAACATGCTGTAATGTTTGTTTGGACTGCGAAAACTGGTAATTAGTAAAGTATAATACTTGATATTGTAGTTCAGGACAGAGGATAGGATTCAGCCCATATTGATCGTTGCCAATACTATAGGGTTTTAAGTACATGGTAAATAAAAATACAAAGATAAAAATATCATTTGAATGTAGGCTTATAATAAAGCTTTGCTGCACCATAGCACTGTCGCTCATGCAAACTATTTCAATTCAACAGCGAACAAAAAGGTCAAATAAAAGCGAGCAGAACATTGTAATGACAACACCTGTGTACGATGTTGAATTCGGGCTTGTAACACTTTCTAGTTTACAGAGTATCAGCGGCACTAGCAGGTTGTTCACCTGCTACTGTCAACGTATTGTGAATAGAAAACATGTTAGTTTCCCAAATATTATTCAAGTATCTTTGCAAAAAAATTTAAATAGCTTATAACAAAAAACTAAAAAATCCTTAGCTTAGCTTAAAGAGGCTAACTGAAGGAGAGTCAGTTACACGCGATGCCACCGTCTCCGAGCATCCTCCTCTCAAGGAGCGAGCAAACTTCTTTCCAGTTACTTGAGTTCATGAATTACGGCTGCAGTTTCAATTGGTTTTGGTAAACGTACACTGTAAAATGCTTGTTTTTTTATTATCATTCTCCTGTGCTCCAGTACTTTTTTCAAGAAAGTGTTGGCTTTAGAGGCATCCTCTACTCGTCCTCAAATCAAAGTCTTCAACTACAGCCACACACTGAACACATTAAATGTTTAAGATACATCATCTCTCATTTCTTTCTTCTCTCCCTCAGTCGGTTGTGTGTTTGAGATGGCGTGTCCCTCCGTCTCTGCTTTGTGGCCCAGCTGTTCCTGGAGCTCTTTGACGACCCTCTCCAGGTTCTGCCGGGCATCCCGCTCCTTCAGCAGGTCCTCTCTTAACTGCTCACGGTCCACTTCTGCTTGCTGGAGCTTTGTCTGCAGATCTTCAATCTGATAAGAGTAAAAAAGAGATGCTGTTGTTCACCTGCTACTGTCAACGTATTGTGAATAGAAAACATGTTAGTTTCCCAAATATTATTCAAGTATCTTTGCAAAAAAATTTAAATAGCTTATAACAAAAAACTAAAAAATCCTTAGCTTAGCTTAAAGAGGCTAACTGAAGGAGAGTCAGTTACACGCGATGCCACCGTCTCCGAGCATCCTCCTCTCAAGGAGCGAGCAAACTTCTTTCCAGTTACTTGAGTTCATGAATTACGGCTGCAGTTTCAATTGGTTTTGGTAAACGTACACTGTAAAATGCTTGTTTTTTTATTATCATTCTCCTGTGCTCCAGTACTTTTTTCAAGAAAGTGTTGGCTTTAGAGGCATCCTCTACTCGTCCTCAAATCAAAGTCTTCAACTACAGCCACACACTGAACACATTAAATGTTTAAGATACATCATCTCTCATTTCTTTCTTCTCTCCCTCAGTCGGTTGTGTGTTTGAGATGGCGTGTCCCTCCGTCTCTGCTTTGTGGCCCAGCTGTTCCTGGAGCTCTTTGACGACCCTCTCCAGGTTCTGCCGGGCATCCCGCTCCTTCAGCAGGTCCTCTCTTAACTGCTCACGGTCCACTTCTGCTTGCTGGAGCTTTGTCTGCAGATCTTCAATCTGAGAGAGTGAAAAAGAGCAGCTGAAGATGTTGCAAATTTTGTGCACATCCTATTTGCTGTCATTATACTTTATTATATACAATGGGGTCATCAATGTGAGACCACTAGTGAAACCGTTAAAACCGGCCAGGACACAGTGTACATTTACCATCTGTACTTGGCTGTGTTCAAATATACCAACAGGATGTGCTAAATCTCACCTGTGAGGAATACTTGGCCCTCAGACGTCCTGCCTCACAGCCCTTATCGCACACACGGAGCTGTCTCTCTCTGTCCAGCTCCCTCTTCAGCCTACCGCAGGACTCGTTGGCATCTCGCACCTTCTTCTCACACTCCACATGG